ATACGGACAGGGGGGGGGGGGGTAAAGCATGTTGCGAGCGTCCGCAAGCTAGCTTATTTGTAGTTCAACGCTGCTATAGACCTACTGGGTGTTTTCCTCTATAGCTGATCTATTTGATATACACGGTTTTCGACCAACTGCTTGTATTCCTCTATGGCAGGGGTCTCAAACTCAAATCATACGGGGGCCGCAGGAGGTAGAGTCTGAGTAAGACTGGGCCGCATCAATTATTCCACACAAAAAAACGGTTACACATTTATTAACGCACAACTGTTACAAGCTGCTCAACCTTTGTTAATAACAAATAAAAATATTAAGGGATCTCAAGAATTAGACTTCACTTTCTTCCTCTTACTCCTAGTTGCCAGAGACCTGGCAGTGCTTCTTCTTACACAGCTGAACAATATTTAGCTTGAGGGCTTGAAGCAACTGAGACCCTCAGTATAGCCTGAAGATGCTCAACAGTAAGTTCGGCTTTTAACTTTGACTTGTTTTAAAGCTCAAAGTGGAAAAGAGCGTTTCACACAGCGTCTCCCACAAAGTCGTATGATCCGCTTGAACAAACTAAAAATTTCAGGGAAGGTGGAGAGCAATGCTATCATAAAACTTCATGCTTGTCTGTTTTTCCATTAACCTCCCTGAACTTAGAATTGCACTGAAAATAAATCAGCTCCATTTGAAGCGCAAAACAAAAACAAAACAAAAACAAAACAAAAACAAAACAAAAACAAAACAAAAACAAAACAAATACAAAACAAAAACAAAAACAAAACAAAAACAAAAACCAAACAAAAACAAAACAAAACAAAAACAAAAACAAAACAAAAACAAACAAAAACAAAACAAAAACAAAACAAAACAAAAACAAAACAAAAACAAAACAAAACAAAAGCAAAACCAAAACAAAAACAAAACAAAACAAAAACAAAACAAAAACAAAACAAAAACAAAACAAAAACAAAACAAAAACAAAACAAAAACAAAACAAAAACAAAACAAAAACAAAACAAAAACAAAACAAATACAAAACAAAAACAAAACAAAAACAAAAACCAAACAAAAACAAAACAAAACAAAAACAAAACAAAACAAAAACAAAAACCAAACAAAAACAAAACAAAACAAAAACAAAAACAAAACAAAAACAAACAAAAACAAAACAAAAACAAAACAAAACAAAACAAAAACAAAACAAAAACAAAACAAAAACAAAAACAAAACAAAAACAAAACAAAAACAAAACAAAACAAAAACAAACAAAACAAAACAAAAAAAGTGCGGGTGGGTGGATCTTCCACATTAAAGGAGAAAGGGTCAGCAAAATTTGAAAAGTCTGTGCGTTTTGAAGTCTGCAAAAATGTGATCAAATTCTTCCTGTAGCTTTGCAATGGCATTAGTATAATTGTTACTGAATAATGTGCCCGAGTCTATGAGTATTTTACATATTTGGAAATGGCAGATGTTTCTCTAAGAATCATAACACCAGTTTTGTGCAGAATACCCTGATATTGTCATCCCTTGTTCTTGTAACTTTGTGTTGAGTACAATCAACTCCTGTGTAATGTCAACAAGAAAAGCCAAGTCCATGAGCCATTTTTGGATCACTTAGTACAGGAACAACCACCCCATCATTCTCAATTAAGGCTTTAAATGCTAAAACGTGTTCAAACAGTAGGCAGGAGTAGACAATATTTATGAATTATTGATGCGAAGGAAGATGCTATTGTTGGGAGATTGAATTTTAATTTTTTTTTTAATCGTAGAAAAGGCCGTTTTGACAAACCTTATTTTGAAAGTGACCAAGCTGACAGGCTCGAAATTTCTAATTTTTCACTCGTACATACTAGCTGAAATTTTAATAGGGATTCTTTGATACTGTGTCAGATTTCTAATTTAAACAATTGTGGTTGTGCATTACCCACTAACTGACTTTATAAAATGTATTCAAAACCGCACTTTGGCTATGTTTGTCTCATAAAAGTCTATAAAATAAAAATCCATTATAATCAAAGTTCAAATGTGTACAAACATAATAAAAATCAGAATTAGACTAGTCGGTGAGATTCGACTGAAACCGCCGAGAAGTGTCGCATTATAGATATAAGAATGGGGAAAACGCGCGGGCCGCATTAACACTTAACTTTGCTGTCATGTAGCAGGCCACAAAATATCGTCTTGCGGGCCGCAAATACCGCGGGCCGCAATTTTGAGACCCCTGCTCTATGGCTATTCAATTTGCTATACACTGCTTTAGGCCCACTGCTTGTTTTCTCTATGACTGATCTATTTTTGAAATTCCGAAAATGTATAGTCTCATTACAAACCACCAAGAATTCAGCATTAATATCATAAGGAGATAACTCCAAATATTTGGTTGCTATTTATCAACAAATGTATACCTCACAAGTTTTTTTTTTGGGGGGATGACGTTTATCTAATGATTTATAGTAGGGGCCAGGGATTATTATTTTTAAAATTCGCCCTGTCCAACGTACCAGGGGTGGGGGGGGGGTCATCAAAACGATGCATGCGGGGTGCTTCGGGTAAGGGGTGCAAC